GTGCGGAGGCCGGCGCGGGAAGCGCCTCGGCCGCGGTGCGCCCGCCCCGCGGGTTCCCGCTGCGGAGCTCCGCGCCCCGGCGCTTCCCTGGCGGGGCCGGGCACCGCGGGAGGCTGCTGGGCTGCGTGGCTCGTAGCGGGCAGGAGAGCTGGTCGTGTCGTGGCAGATAAGCGTCTGGCAGTTCGCTTTTAAAACGTGTTTGATTTTTGGAAGGCTGTGAATATTATTAGGGTTTTTTTTCTTTCTCCTTCGTCATAGCTTCATTTTCAGTTTCCTTTTGTTTTTCTTATACACGAGGGCGTTTCGTCCCCTCTTGGAGGAAATGCGTTATCAGGAAGCCGGAACGCGGCAGTTTGCAGCCAAATAAAACAGTCCCGTGGCAGGCAGCCCTTGTAACTGCGGGGCCGTAAATCAGATTTGCGGCTCCGCGGCTCCATCGCGTGCCGGTTCTGTGCAAGTGCAGCGCGACGGGCGGTCCCTGCGGGAAAGGGCCCGGGAATCGCGGACACGTCCTGCCCCCCTCTCCCTTGGCGATCCCGGGGAGCCTCAGGTCTGTGCCATAAAGACAAGTAGGATTGCTGGCAGGCTTTGCGTTAAACCTGCGCGTGGACCTGGCTCTGATTCCTTGCTCTGTGACAGTCACCTGTGGTGACGGTGATAGGAACAGTTCTGCCGTGTCAGTGTCTTAGGCCATACACCATTAAAGGAAGGTGAACCTGAGCTGATAGAACTCCTTGAGTCTTAGAACTGCAAAAGAACTAATGTTCACCAGCTAGAAAGGAGGGAGATACCTGCTCCTCTTTGGGCCATCATGGTTTCCACGTTACCTGGTTCTGTGGTATATCCAGTTCCGGAAGCCTCAGCTGTGCAGCGGTTCCGATGCCTGCTGGCAACATGCCGTGGTTGGTTACTTTAGTGCCTCAGCGTTTTGGTCTATAGCTGCCTATGGCTTGTGCCGTGTCACCTCTGTACTAGCTGTGTCACCTCTGCACTAGCTGGGAGTAGAAACCATGTTCTGTGGCTACGTGGGCCTGGGAAGCAAGCAGTGCTGCTGCCTGTATCCACATGGCCACAGCAGCTGTGCAGCTTCCCCACRAGGTCAGCGGTTTCCTCCATGTTGTGTCCAGTGTTTGTTGCCCTGGAAAGYGCCTGGAGTTCCAAGGACAGGTTGCCAGCACCTCCTTCAAACTGGAGTAAGAGGCGTGATCTCGTCTGTCCAGCAAAGGAATAGGGTGGGAGGATTCAGACTGGACCTCAGGGCACGTGGATCCTCATTTAAGCACTAGCTAATAATCCATCCCATGGCTTCTCAGTCGCTGTGTAACCAATGTCTGTGATTGCCAGTTTTGCGCTCCAGCCTTTTTGACAGGAGCGTTCTTGTACGTGGGAATGTGGCTCAGAAGCCATCTTGCTATCGCCTACCTGGGTAAACTTGTGCTAGAAATGGAACATATTTTAACCTCTCTGTGTCAGTTCCTTGAGCCCAGCCATGTGTTCTGACAGTCTGCGCCTTCCAGGATGTACGTGGTGTTCTGGGTGCTGCTAATGTGCAAAATAAGACATCTTGCTTCGCTCACTGCTGCTCTGTAGAGGAGGAAAATCTGCGTGGGCCACTCGGCTGCTCAATCCTGGGTTGTCTGCACTGGGATTGAAAGCCAAATCTGGCAACATGCGTGCTAAACCATAGACCAAGGTGAATATAGATGGCTCTGTTGAGAGTAATGTTCCCTCTGTGATAGAAAATCATTGCACATCGTAGACACCATGAGGGACTTTGGTGTGGATGAGTTTGAATGGCACAGCTCCCTGGTAACTCTCTCTGTGCAGGTGTTGAAATTATATTGGTTTGCAGCTGGAAGAGTTCAGCAGGGCTGTCGCTCATGACTAAAAGTGTTTCATTGAGGCARATATTGCTGGCATGGGTTCATACATAATAGGTGGTTACTTGTAACCTTGTTACCCACATTGTGAGGATAGCATGAGGTCACCCAGGCTTCTAAAATACACTTGCACAAAATGTTGAGAAGCAAGTAGAGTGGAAGTGCAACACACCTACTTCAATGAATTGGGTGAGAGTATGTTCAGGGTCTCTGCATGCCCTAGAGGAAGAGGAGTCAGTGTTGTCTGGCCTCAAAAACACGAGTATATGATAACTGTCCATTGACAGCACTGGAAGTGTGAGGAGCAGTTAGGTTGTAATCATTAGCATGGTTCTAAGTAACCTAATGTCAAGTTTTTTTTTGGAGGAATCAGAGCAAAAACGTTTTAAGGAGACTTACTGAGGAAGGAGAATGAGGTTTAGAGCTGGTGATGAGAAGCTTATTTAAAATAAAGAGTGCAGAATATGTAAAAGCTGAAAGAAGAGGACCCAAAGCAGCAGAATGCATTTGTTTACTCATATGGCCAGAGTAGTTGCTGAAAATGATCTTAGAGTATTATGAGTGGATGAGATCTGAACAGTACTGGATTTGGGAAAAGAAGTTGCAGAAATCCAAGTGATGAAAGTTTAGACCAAGTTTTTAGGTGTAAAGATGAACAGAAAAAGTCTTTTTGGTTAGAACTGAAACAAAACTTTTTGTATTTGTGCAAATGCATTTGTTTGTCATAGGTGTTGGTCTTATCTGTATTTATTTTATAACTTAGACACTGCATACAATAGTGTATAGTGAAGATCCAGGTGAATCAATCGAAGGTTACATATTTTAGAGGCTTGTRAAGGGAATTGCTGTTTTTATTTCCAACTGTGGTTTCTTTTCCTATTTTATTCCACTCTGATTTGGTCTCATCTTTGCTAGCTCCATGCCTGTTCTCTCTTGAATCTAGCTTACACTTAACTGTCCATTTTGCAGCTCTGTAATGCAGTGTTTGCCATTACCAGTATAACCCCTCTGACCTTAGAGATGCTCATTCCACACCTATCTGCTGTAGCAATTTTTTTGCCATGAGTGTTCATACGTCTTCTCAACTGCAAATCTTGGTACAGTAAGAATGGTGTAATCATTTTTTTATCTGTGATAAATCAAATTGTTCTCCCAAAATTTTCCTCAGATACTTGAAATCAGTAATTTGAAATAAGACTAATAGTTTCCCAAATACTCATCACTGCTTCCAAAGGCATCTGGATTTTTTATCGGACAAACTGTAAGTATCAAAGCTTCCTTTAATACGACTCATTATCCAGCTTGGAGGGTAATCACGAACACAGAGCGCAGACATGAACGACTTGAACCAAGTTGGTTCTGTTGCTTTCTCCCTGCTCAGCTGCCTCTATTGCATTCAGTCTTGTGTGGGAGCCTTTAAAGTATGACTTTCGATAACAGCCTGTAAAGGCTGTGGTACCTTCACATCTATTTCAAGGCTAAAGTATCAACATTTCACATGCGGCTGCTAAGAAAGCTGGTGATTCATGAGCCCATAAGCCTTAAGCCATTAAACTTGCAAACAGCGAATGGTTTAGAAATGGTTTTCAGCTAGAAGCATTTTGACATATTGGTAAATATTTTCAGGTCTTACTGGCTTACAGGCCAACATTTTGAATATATATGACTACTTTTTGCCATCTCATTACAAGACTAGGTTCAACTTTGGACATGCAGGTATCGTGAGGAGAGATAGCTCCTGCCAAGCCGCATAATTCCCAGTGCAAAGTAACTTAATGGCTTCTATGAAAATATCCCAGAAGTATCAAGGACTGTAAAACTCAAATTGAGCTTGACTAGGGGAGGCCTGGTAAAATAGCTCGTTCAATGGCTCGGCTTGACAAACTCAATGATAGAAGCAGTTCGCTTGACAAAGAGGGTTTGTCATTGAGCGCTGTGGTTCACAGGCACTTTGCATTTCTCAAAAAGGTGACAGACTCGTGTGAGTGATCACCTTGAGGTGGTGGCCTGGCCTCACGCTTTGGAAGCATTGCATATACAGTGTGACACGGACGCCTGCCGCTGAGGAATAAAACTCAGTGATAATTTGCTCCTGCAAATGGTCCCCGTATGATGGGAATAGGCACAAATTAGTGGAGTCTGTTGAACTACTTGTAAAGGCTGCTGTGATTCTTGGGATGCTCCAGCTAAGCCTTAAACTGTGTAATAAGTGAAGAAAATGAAGGAGATGTTAATACTTATAACCCTAACACATGTAATCAAGTAAGGGGAGAAGTGACTAAGTCAACCAAGGGTGTGATGACCTCTTCAGCCACACTCTACAATGCCTCTTTTTTTTTTTTTTTTTTTTTTTCCTGATACCTCAAGATATCTACGTTAAAGACCAACAGGTTGTATTTGTTCCATGGCATATACGTGAAAATAAGGTGGAGAGGCAAGCTCGCTTGGAAGTCCAGGGGCTGCTCTTTTCTCTTGAGGACCTTTGTGCTGGTGACTCCAGTGAAGGCAGGAGCAGAGCAGGCACAGCCTGGGGGCTCTTCTGACACCCCAGGAATGTGGCCAGGCTGAAAGGTGCGGGGAGCTGGGCCTAGTGTTGGGAAGGGCAGACGCAAATATGACTGCTCTGCCTGCATCAGAGGAAGAAACACCGGGAAAGCAGGAGGAAATCCGAGTTGCACGTGAGGCCTCCTGTATTCCCCTGTGCCCTCTTCTTTTTAATTAAAAGTCTGCTTGCAGTAATTGCCATGAACAGAACTCATTTTATTCTTTACATACATTCTGAAAACTGGTAATTGTTACAATTTTTATAGTTTTGCTCTGTTAATACTATTCATACTTTTTATTTATTCAGTTTTGTATTACTTTTAGTGTCAATAAAGAACTGTATAGATTTTTACATTCTTTCTTTTCATGCTCTAGGTTCATTCAGCTAAAACATTTTGATTTAAAAAGAAAATAACTAATGTCCTTTTAATATAATAAGTGGAACATTTCTGTTTAAATTCAGGAAGAGCCTTCTAGAAAAATCCCAAACTGGGTAAACTCTGAATTTTTGAGTGCCAACCCTCCCTTTGCTAGGGATACAGCTTCTTCACCATGGTATGTTACAGCTGCATTTTTTCAGCTTCCTTTTAGTGTCTTGAAGATTAGAAGATCCTTCTGCTCCAGGATGCTTGAATCATATTTTTGCTTTTTAATCGAACTTTCTATCCATTTTGTTTTAAAGAAGTCCCTTTCTTTCCTTTCGTTTATAGCCCGGCTGTGACTTCATAAGAATCTCTAACTGAACCATAAACTACCTTGGTAAATATCATTTTTCCTTGCAAGCTATATCTTACTGCAATGACCAAAGTTTTGTCATGTGCTAGATTAAGATGTCTGCCTAAAATCAATACTGCTGAGGTAACAACATTGGTTTCTGCAAGGCTCTCAATTACTTTCTCAGTTGTTTGTCATCGGAAGAATATATGATCAGTTGTTTCCCCTGCAGGCTATAAAACCAGCCTGTTCTCCTTTGATCACTTCTGCATACTTCACTTTTACTCTCCTAAGTGCAG